CTTGAGATGGGGCAATTATCTTGGATTTTCTGGGTGGGCCCTAAATGCTACCACCTCAATTGTTCTACCATCCAGATGAATCAACTAACATTTTGACAAATTTACAATCAGTATTATGTTATTATTTTGCTGAACCATACAGGCAATATGCCATTTACCCCCCCCCCAATTCTTTCTTTTTTTTTTTTTGAGACACAGTCCCACTTTGTCGCACTCTACTGAGGGCGACAGCACAGAGTGCTGTGCTGTCACAGCTCACAGCAATGTCAAACTCTTGGACTTAAGCCATTCTCTTGCCTCAGCCTCACAAATAGCTGGGACTACAGGCACCTGCCACAACGCCTGGCTACTTTTTTGTTGTAGTTGTCATTGTTGTCTAGCAGGCCTGGGTGGAGTTTGAACCCGCCAGCCCCGGTGTATGTGAGCTACGGGCGCCAAGCCTATCCTCCAATTCTTCAGGACATCTTTATTTTATTTTTATTTTAAATTTTTTTTAGTAACAGAATCTCACTTTATCGCCCTCAGTAGAGGGCGTCACAGTTCACAGCAACCTCCAAATCCCGGGCTTAAGTGATTCTCTTGCCCCAGCCTCCCTGGCTATAGGTGCTGGCCTCAATGCTCAGCTATTTTTTGGTTGCAGTTGTCATTGTTATTTAGCTGGCCTGAGCTGGGTTTGAACCTGCCAGCCTCGGTGTATGTGGCTGGCACTATAACCACTTCAGGACATCTTTAAATAACGATATTCTCCCCAATGAATACAAAGGCAGGGCAGTTTTATTCATGGCCCTGGCGTCCTCTCCCCCCACCCTCAGCAGGGAGGGTCTGGGCCAGAGGTGGTATCACACTGGGTCTCTGCAGCAGCCTGGCCTTGCGGGGCACAGGTAGTGGGGTACCCTGGGCCATGGGAGGAGAGCCTGGGGCTGAAGTTGCCCAGATACAGTCTCCCCACGTTGCCCTTGGGGAGGTCCCGGGAAGGCCAAGATGATCCACAGCGTTCCTGAAGCCTTGGGTGCAGGTGGCTCCAGGTTCGTGCAATGACTACACACTGCTGAGCTAGGGCACACCGTTAGTCTGGGCGTCCAGGATCCTCGGGAACCAAGAAAACCCCTTCACTGCCTCCCTCCCGCAGACCTGAACTTTGGCGAGTCCCAGGCTAAACGCCTGCCGAGACAAGCAAAGCCTGGCAGTGCCCAGCGAGGGGCTTGCCCCATACCCCACATCCACAACTCCCCACTGACCAGGTCCAAGACCCAGCACCAGACAGAGGAGGGGAGTGGGGCCAGCTCCTCCCCCAGGGCACCTCCCCACCTTGCCTGTCCAGAGTTGGCCCTCAGCAATTCCCTCCTTTCCAGTCCCCCCCCCAGCTTCCCTGCCCCGCCCCTCTCTTTCCCACCCCCATCGCCACACCTCCACCTCCTTGAGGCACAGTTGGCCACAGGCTTTGAGAGACCATTTATTGAGCTGGAATAGGGGTGTGGAGAGAAACAGGGCTCTGTGGGGCAGCGCTCCAGGCTGGATCCCTCACTGCAAAACATGGGCAGGATGGGGGTGGAGGGGAGGCTCCTGCTCCCTGTCCTGCCCAGTCCAGCAACCAAGCCCTATTGCTGCCTGGGGCTCCTGGCCTGGTGCTGTGGTCACCACTCCCTACCCCTACTGGGATGGCCCCACTGTGCCACCCTGACCCCACGGGGAGAGGCCTCCTGCATTGGTCAGCAAGCACTGCGCACTGTGTGGTCCACTCACCTGGGACAGGGTGCCGGCACACTGGTCTGTGGGAGAGAGCAGGCCTGAAGAGCCGATGGGGGACACCCTTTTCCTGGGGTGGAGGCCCCCAAACTGCCATCTCCTCCTGGGGGCAACTGCCCGGGCAACATCTTGCCCTCCCCAGGCTCAGAAAGATGTGGCTGCCCCTGATGGGGACAGTGGAAGTGACATTTGGGGCCTGGTCCTCCCATCAGGAGCGAGGGCAATGCTCACCGGACTTGGGCAGCAGGGCGCCCTGGCTGGGGCTCAGGCCCACTTGGGATGCCAGCAGCTGCATCTTCTGGGCGCCTTCAGGAAACAGCTCCGGGGCTCGGGCTGAAGGCAGGGAGCCCGATGAGGACTGAGGGGCAGCCTCAGGGAGGAGGGGAGAGGAGGGGTAGCCATAAATGGAGGTCTCAGGGTCATGCCTGCATGTTCAGAACATGCTGGACCGGACATTGGGGCAACACTCTGGATTGGCCCTCCTTAGGGAGAGACCTGTGCCTGGAGAGGAAGTAGCTGTCAGGACCTACACCCAACTTGCCACCCACCATAGAGCTGCAGCCAGATATTCTGCACATCCCCCTTCTGTGTCTTGAAGTATAACAAGGCGAAATGCTGGTAATCCGTGAAGGCCACGCGGATGTCAGTCTGGGCCATAGCTGAGGGAGGGAAAGCTGGTGATCCCCACCCAGGACACCCCCACTCACCCTGGGATGCCCTGCTCTCAGAGTGCATAACCCACACATGGCCCCTCTAGATCCAGCAGCCTGCACAACCCCCAAGACTCCCCACACCCTCTGCCCTGCTCGCGCCTGGTCCAGCTTCACCTGGGTTGCTGAACTGTCCCTCTGTGGCCCCCTTGGTGAAAGTCATGTCCATCTTCTGGCACCTGCCGTCCAGCCTGGGGACAGGAGCCCAGCTAGCCCTCTGAGCAGTCCTCAAGCACCCAGCCCAGGACTCCTTGCTCTCCTTGCGGCCTAGTCCTGCCTGATGTCTTAAGGATACTGCAACCAGGCTCGGCGCCTATAGCTCAACAGGC